GAGAGAGAGAGAGAGAGAGAGAGAGAGAGAGAGAGAGAGAGAGAGTAAATGTGAGTGTTAATGTCTTACTGTTTTGGAAATAACCCCAGTTTGCATCCCACTGTGCCTATCCACCCACCCTCTGTCCCAGGAATCTATATCCCTCGTGTTGCTGACATGTTCATCACTGCAATGACTCTTATTTTAGATTCTTTCCCATACAAATCTCATAATTCTTGGCTGTGAAACTTACAGGACAAATAAGACATGCTGTTTTATCTTAATGAAGAGATGATACAACACCCAAGTGATTCTTAATGGATGGAGTTGATGGGAGATTCTCTTATCAGGCCAAATTGCTTTCCATCCATTAACTACACAATTACTGTAGATCTGAACAAAGACCCACCCATCGTGCTAGTTAGATGGTTTTAATCAAAGTTATAAGTCCTCCATCCACCCCATCCCAGAGGAATTCCTCACTTAACTCCTAGAGGGTTGATTGTAGATGCAGAAACTCTTTCAAGGAACTGCTGTTTCAATGTAGCACCAGAGTGGCATTTTGTTCTGTAACAATCATTGAAAAGCAAAAAGCTGCACTCACCATCACTGTATACAGTGGCTCTTTCCTTTTGGAAATGTGGTCTAGTTTCACAGTTAATCTGCAAATAATAATAATTAAAAAAAAGAAAACTGCCCAAAAATCTACCAACCCATAGCCCACAGCCCAAGAGAATAAAGGTGCTCTTAACTGAACCCACATGGGGGCAAAAAAAAACAAAAAACACCAAAACATTCCTAGTTTTTAGTGACTGTTAATTCAAGTAAGACTGTTACCCTTTCTGGAAAAAAGGCAGATGCTCACATTGTCAAGGTTAAACTATAGGAGGACTGCCGAGACACAGCTGGGGCAAGTTAACAGAGTAATGAAGGAATTTTGAACAAAATCACAACAATTTATGCAGAAACCTCTTCTGGGACCAGAACATGAACTCCAGGTTAAGTATACTATTCCAGTAAATTTATTTGAAATCCTTCTGATTAGCTCTGTCTTCAAAAAAAAAGACACAATCCTTTATGTAAATAAGTCTTTTTAAAGAACATGTAAAATTTATTTTGTCAAAAAGTGATTGCCGCATCTGCCTTGTGATAGAAATGTAATTTTTGGCTCAAAGTGGTTTGTTATTCATGAAAGATTTGTTTGAGAGATTATATCAGCAAGTCATTTACAGCAGTTTAAATACTCCCGATGTGCCAAAAGTGATGTCTGGTATTTAAACAGGCCACATTTTGCTGAAGCTCTATTGCAGCAACTCAAAGTGGTGCTCAGTAGTTTGTATGGCTTCCACATGCTTGTATGCATAGAAGCATGATCCTAATAAAACAACAGGCGGTCTCCTTGGGTATCTCCTCCCAGATCTGGACAGACTGAAGTGTATCCTGGTGGAGTCAGATGAATGGAAACATGTTGTCCCTGAGGTGCTCTGTGGATTTAGGTCAGGAGAGTGTGGGCCCAAACAATTATATCAATTCCTTCATCTTCCTTCAAAAGTTATTTCTGGTATTTAAACTGTTGCATATTATTTGTTGGTGCATAATCTGTCAAACATAGCTCAGAAATATCTTTCATGAATTATATCAAGCCATTTTGAGACGGAAACAATACTCCTGCCACAGTATAGAAGCTTCAACCAGGTTTTAGCAAAATGAATTTTATATATGCTTTATTTATCAGGGTAAAGCCTGTCAGGGTCTATGGATTTCAAAACGGTACCTAATTGCAGTCAGGGTGACGTTGCCTAGCCTGTAAAAGTCTGTGTGTCCATCCATGGGTATGCCTCCCCAGATCATCATGACTCACCACCAAACCGATCACACTGAATCATGTTGCAGACAGCACAATGTTCTCAGATGGCTGGTCCACACATGGAGGACGAGACCATGACAAAAATGATGTTAGTGTCATTATTTTTTAATGGCCGCTGTTTTTCTGTCGTTTATCTTCCATTTTTTTAAAAGTTGCTTCTCTGCTGACATCCAGTGGCCATCTCCAATTACAGCAGTTAAAATAAAAATTTTGTATGTAAAAATAGGGTTGTAGTTGCAGTCACACAGTGGAAGCTCCAACCCCCACAAAACACTAACCCTACATTGAACAAATGGACAGTATAAATTCACATTTATGCCATAGATTTAAGTATTTTTGCACTCTCCTTCTTCCTCCTCTTCTTCTTCTTTTTGTTTCATTTACAGTGTAAGCTGAGGAAGGTCAAGAAGTCTTATTTTTTGTTTTCTGTACCAATGTATTTGATAGAGTCTGTTCACAAAGTTTCTCTCTTGGAAAATGACTCATTTCAAAGTATGCAATACCTATTTTATCATATAATTGAATAAAAAAGTAATAGTATTGGGTCTTGAGCCGTTTCTTTATTTTTGAGCCATTTGCTTTAATTTGAGGTCCTTGTGCGCCGGTGGCTATTGCAATGGTAACGATGGTCCGTTTGAAACTGAAGCTCTGGTGCATGTGCCCCCCCCCCCCAAAAAAAAAAAAAATCAGCACAGTGCTTCAGAAACATTGTGCCGAGGCTTGGTTCATTCGGCACATCACTGCCTCAATACCTGATTCAGGGTTTATAAGGAAATGAATCATTGGCAGGATTTGTGGTGTTTTGGTGGTGATTTTGTGCGAGAGATTGAACCAGTGTGTGACATAATTAGAGACATGGACCAAGAAAGGAGGATGCTCTGCCTATTCTAAAATAAAAAAACCAGTTAATCAGCAGTTCTGCTCGCAGGTCTAAAATTTAAATAAGAAATACACTAGACATATAGTTATAATTATAGTAGTATATTATATGTAAACCTACCAGTCCGCTGGTTAATTACATAAACACATAGAGGCAGGGACCTCACAGCACAAGCATATTCCCTATAAGATTGTTATATGTAGTGTATTCTTTTTATTAGTAAAAAAACATCAAGAAGTCACAAGCAAAAGGAGCACACACCATGGCACATGTTTAAACAAGGAAGGCTTACTCATCAAAATGATCTATTATTAATTCAATTCAATAAAACTTTATTGATCC